CTCTCCTCTCCTCTCCTCTCCTCTTCTCTCTTTTCCTCTCTTCTCTTTTCCTCTCCTCTCTCTCCTCTCTCCACTCCTCTCTCGTGTCATCCCGCTTCGCCTCGCCTCCTCTCGTCTCGTCTCGCCTCGCCTCGCCTCGTGCTGTTGCCGCGCTCGCTCGCTCGCTCGCTCGCTCGCTCGCCCGTTCGCTCGGTCCCGCTCGGTCCCGCTTCGCCGGGTGGCAGCGGTACCCTCCTCCGACTCCGACTCCGACTGCCGCACGCTCGGAATCGGAAAGGGGAGACCGCGCGGTGACGTGCGCAAGCGCGAGGGTCGAATGGAAAAAAATCGGCCGGGCTGACGACGGGGGATGGTCGTCGTATCGATCGCGCTAACATCGGGGACCGAGAGCGCCGAGAATCTACGGGTATAACCGTGATGCAGCCACGGTGACGAGCTATACCCGGCTCGACCGAGAGAGTGAATGACGCGCCGCCGGATACTGAAGAGGACTCGATTATATATACCTTATTTCGTTATAACGAGAAATTCACGTATGGCGTACCTCTCTCCCGTGTATTAAATTGATCGTATTATTGATACATAATTCATTTGAACAATGGCAGATATGCGTATATTACGTGAAATTATTCGAATCGCAATTGAACGCTTACTATACTGATAGAGAATGCGAATCATTGTAGCGAACTAGAGCGTACTTTGAGAGCACGCTCTTGTTCGAATGGCTCTACTTCCCATTCTCGCGCGTCCTGCGCGAGAGAGGCACAAGGTAGCACGCGTTGCCGGTCCCGGAAAAAGCCTCATCCGTTTATACGTTCTACAAAGCGCGCAACAAAAGTCAGAGCCGATGTCGCACGAACGCTCCCGACGTCGCTCGAAGTTACGACGGTACGGGATGGAGAGGAAGATGATATGAGATGGGACGAGAAAACGGAGAGACAGAGAGGGCACGAGCGAATGAGCATTGAGCAGAGAGATATAGAATGTAGCTGTAGGAGAGCAAAGGAACAGGGGGGGGGGGAAGGGGATGACGATGAGAAGGGAAGAGCGTTCGACGCGCGATGGATGCAACAGACTAAAAATCTCGGATATTTTCGGCCGCGTTCGGCCACCGTCGGATGTAAAATTTATACAAAAATACAAATGCACGACGAATATTAGCTGCAGCGTTATGTATATTAACCGAGAGAGAGAGAGAGCCGTCCGCGATAAATTCCCGACTTTGTTCGACGTTGACTGGCGTTACATTCGCGCGAGCGCAGCGCCGTAATAATAAAAAAAGCTGTAATATTAATCGTAGCAATGGCCGGATAATTATTCGCCTGGCGACGCAAAATAAGAGTACGGGTGCTAAAATAGCGTTTGCGAAGCTGAGTTAAAAACGAATAATAGGACAAATACATAGATATCCAGCGAATTCGATCAATCTACAGATTTAACGGCAGGACCGATTGTAAATTCACGGTGACCCCGTATCCGTCAAACCGTTTCATCATTAACGAGTAATATCGATTTTATTATTAATTTATGAGTATAATGCAACAAAAACAGAACTAAAATCGAAACATGCCTGATAAAATTCGATATATGTCGGTTTTTTTTTTAATTTATAATGGAAAATATAACATTTAGGTACTCTTGGTCCCCTGCTACTATAGTACTAGATATTAGATCATAACGTCAGAGATGCAGAATAACCATATGGATATTTTTCCTGCGCCATGCGTAAAAATAAATTAGTTTTTTCGCATGTCACAACTCGTATTCGACGGGACAGATTTATGAAACGCGGATTAATATGGATGGATGTAAACCTTGATTAACTATCATAAAAGATCATAATCTAATATATGCCTATAGTAAAGAATCGGGAGCCTTAATATAAATTTCACAAACTTTAGATCTAGATTTAACGTTTAGTCTCGACATTGACTAAGTATAGACTTAATCACAATGGGATAAGCAGAAACTTTACTGTCATATCTGAGATATATTGCATGCTACACTATTTATTTTATCGCGATGCGCGTGATAGATTAAAAAGTAGGATATAGCAATTATGAATATAATTAGGACTACATTATTCATTTGAGCCAGCAAATGCCATTTAAAAACATAATTTAACCAAAGGTTGAAATATTAAGTACATATATTATCTATTCTATTGTTGTACTATTTTGTACAAATATATAGAAGATATCTTAAAATAATTATACAAATTAACTCGAATTTTTTTTAAAATTAAATATTTTTTTAAGACAAATATTTTAAGCAAATATATATTCATATTTAAAGAAAATGAATTCCAAAGTTATGATCTCATAAAACATATATTAAATAATATATCTTGACGTGGACGAAATTTATATAATGTTTAGCTAGGCACAATGGATATAACATAAAAACAAAATACTAATATATCCTAAAAATATATTTCTTCATCACAATATTCTTTTATTAACACAATTTTGCAGCAGACTTAACAGACTAAATGCACTGTTTTTTTTCAGAGATATTTTTCATTGAACTATTTTGAAGAATCCCTGTGTATTTCTAAATTGCTGCATGTGCTATGTGATTTGCTTTGCGAATTAATTCTTTCGCTATCCTCTGCTTGCGAACTGAAAATATCTGCAAAAATAACAATAATAAAAGCTTTTTATATTTTCTTATGTAAAAAGATTAGAAAAATAATACTAAAAGTATCTTTAATTTATAAACAACGTTATATTGTTTTAACACAAACAATTGCTTATTTTTTAATTCATCAAGCACTTGTAAAGTACGTCTTATATACTTAAAGATTTATATAAGTAGAA